TGACATGTCGACTGGAAATGCATGTGGGGTTGCATGTATGACTGCATGTACATCACTGCTGCTCTCTCGTCTTCCTTGCAAACGCTCTCAGACTCTCCTCTGGTGAAATGTGTTTGTGTTCGCCCTTTGTGTCTGTATGGATCTTCGTTGTGGGGTGGGGGACTAAGGTCGGCCGGGCGGTGCTCTCCCCCTTACTGTCCGATGTTTGCTACCCGGTAGCTTTGCTGGGTGACGGTAGACTTCTGTGGTCTGCGTGTCTGTGCGCTTGGGGTTTCCATGCTGGCTTCTGGTGATACATGGAGCTTGTCTCTTCTTCGCTTCGCTGCTCGGTTTGTTGCTGTTGCTTGGTCTTGTCCCCCTCTGGGCTAGCAAGGTGGTTCGTGCTTGCGCCTGTGGCTGTCGCGGAGTCATCAGGCCAAGTGGCCTTCATTCGCCCCGCGGTCGGCGACTCCACTGCTTCCCCTGCGACCCCGTCCTAGTTGGGTGCTAAATTCTCGAGAGACGGCTGTTTGCCGCTGCTCCAAGGGGGGTCGAAACGCTGTACAAAGGACTGCTCCATCTGTTTCCAGGCTTCCCTGTTCCGTGCATGTTGTCGCCAGGGTTTGGCAACTTTCTCCACCATTTTCTCCGTCTCCAACATGGCGTTGAAACGATGTGGATGTCGGAGACCGTGTGTCTTGCTTTGTTCTGCCCGCCACCACTCCTGACTACGCCACCCTAACATAAGCCCTGTGTGTTGTTCATGTCTGGCCGTGTGACCCCACAGCTTCCAGACTTGCGCCAAGGCAATGGTTGACCATCGGTGCATCGGCCTGGCTGCCAGACAGGCTCTTGCTTGCCTCAGCGATCTTCGATTCCAGTCGGCCCACTGCTCCAGTGGTCTGCGTTTGGCATGGAGCATCTGTCGCAACTGCATGAGTTGGATGCTGTTCATGCCTTTTAGCAACGCATCATGTGGATGCGCAGCCCCAATTGCCCACAGAGCCGACGTGGATACATACCTAGTGTATGCCAATAGCTTGTGGTCAACACTGCCCGCACCTGTTAGGAGTTTTTTGTGTGCCGCGAAGGCAACTCTTGCTCGTCTGGCCACTTCCGCGAGAGTCTGCAGTACCTCCCCGGCCAGGGCGACTGGCGCTCCCAGCACTGTCACTGTCCCATCCCTTTCTCCCGTGATTTCCCTGTCCCCCACTCTGAGTGTTTGTTCTCCCTCCATGGTGTGAACATAGTGTGTTTTGGCGGCGTTCACCTTGAGGTTTTTGGCTCCTAGGCTGCGTACCAGGATACCTAGCTTGGTTTGTAGGAAACTTTTGTCATGGCTCCATAGGTAGATGTCGTCCTGGAACCCCCCCCCGTTGGTGGGCATGGGGGAGCCTCCGTCTGGGGCTCTATCCTCTTTCGGCCTGGTCCCTTCCGAAGCTTCGGTCCTTGTGATTACCATGGGTTGGGGCGGTGTGGGGTTTGGTGATCTGGCGGGCGGACCAAGGACCTCGTTCAAGATCTGGCCAACGATTGCCGCGAAGATCACGGGTGAGTCCGGCGCTCCTTGGCGCACCCCGTTAGATTGCTCCACTTTCTGCGTTTCATTCTCCAATTGCACGTTGATGGAGCTGTTCACTAACATGTCAATCCACAGGCGCGCTTCCCATGGTTTGCCGCCATGGTTCCCCACTTTCTGTTCCACCAATGCTGCTAACTGAATTTGTGAGACTGTATCGAACGCCTTCGATACGTCTATCTTGATCAGGTGCAGCGGCAGTCGCCACTCACGGCATGTGCGGATTGCTCTTCGGATAGACAGTATCAACTCGGCTGGCTGCATCCCCGGCTGCGCATATTGCCACACGGCTCCGCTGAGTATGTGTTCACCGGCCCGGCCCAGTATGAGCTGAGACTGCCATTTCAGGAGGCTGGTCGACAGGGTAATGGGTCTGGTGGAGCTCCAGTCTTTGGGGTGGGGTTCTTTTGGCAACAGCACAGTGACCGATTCCTTGACCGGGGCTGGTAGCTTCCCTTTATACAAGGCATCGTTGAATTCTTCAAGGATGGCCTGGCGCCAATGGGGGTCTTGGTGGAGTGCTCGTAGAGCCTCCAATGCCACACCGTCAGGTCCCGTGCTCTTGCCCGCCTTCCACTTACCCATAGTAAAGGCCAGTTCCTCTTCCGAGAAGGGGTCCCATGCGACTTCTTTACATTGCCTCTCCAACTTTCTCCAAATGGCCTGCACTTGTCGACTGACTTCCTTCCCGTTTTGGGTCTTGAATATGCTCTCAAAGTGTTGCTTCAGCCTTTTTTGCCAGCCCTCTTCCGCTGTCAACGTTCCCGCCCACATCTTGGGCTTCCTAGCCCGCTTCCTCGCCTGGAGCGCATGCCAATTATTCCTCAAGACTTCTTGCAATATCTCTCGTTCCCACTCGGCTTTGTGGAGCTTCTTCTTCTTCCATACCTCCTTCCACAGCGCCCTCGCCTCCGGTGTGTGTCTTTGTTGCATTGCTCTTCGTCGCAGTTGTTTGATTTCCTTGCTTTCCTGGTACCTAAAGGGGCTTTTCTTGGGTTCCGTTATGTTCCTCGCCACCTGCTGCAAACTCCTTAGGTTGTCACCTTTCCATTTGGTCCCTTGTTGCATCATCTTCTGCACCTCCTCTTGCCCTCTCAGGTGTCTGGCCCCATGTCCTACATCCGCCAGTCTGACTTTGTCCTCTACGCCCTCCACTGTCACGCTGATGCCCAGCGTCAGTGCATCATGATCACTCGATACAAGGTGTCTAAGTTGGTGGACCTTGCCCGGTCCGACCTCTTCAATCTCTGCCGTGAAGATGTAGTCTAGGCGCCGGGGCTGATGCAGCGGGTTATAGGGGTGATATGTCGGAATCGCCATTTCTTGTTCCGGTGCTCTCATGTCTCGGTCACTCAGCCACTGCAGCAACAGCCCTCCTCTCGCCGTCTTGTGTCTCAGAGCATCCTCTGGTTGTCTTCCTCCCTCTGCCGGCTGGAAAGTTTCATTGAGATCTCCCATGAGTATCTTGGCCTGCTGCCTGCTTGCCTGCATGTCCCCCCACGCCGCCGCGTAGGCCCCGGTTTCCACAAGCGTGGCTTTAGGTGGTAGGTGGACGTTGAGGATTCCTATCTTTCCTTTGCCCCGCCTGATGCATACTCCTATGGCATGTTCGCCCAGTTCTTTATGGGCAATCTTACCGAACTGGGACTTCACTGCGATCATTCTGCCTCTCCATTCCTCCTTCTGTTTTCCTGCAAACAGGTGCCATCGGTCCTCACCCTGTCCGCAGGTCAATTCTGTGATCCCCACGGGGCACGAGACTTCCTGAAATGCAACCACCTCCACCTTTCCCAGTCCCAAGGCTGGCATGAGCATCACTGTCTCTTCAAGCCTATCCATGGGCATCCCCCCCACATTCCACGTAAGGACCTGAACACTGCGTCGTGCATTCACGTTCCTGACGGGTTCGCCCTCTTCTGCTCTCTAGCTTTCCTCTCTCTGCTTCTCCCTCTGCTGCCTCTGCTGCGCACATCTAATCCCTTGCACACACGGTGTTGCGGTGGCCTTCGGACCGAGTTCCGCTGCTGTCTGCTTGCACTGGTTGCCGACTGTTGTTTTCCGCGGTTCCCTGGCTGCTCGCTGGCTTCCCCTGCAGTATCACTCTGTACCTTCGCCAGTCTCTGGCGGACACTCCACGGGACGTCATCAAGCGGGTCATACCTGCCTTTGCACTGCGTCTGAGACACAGTTTGGTTGTCTGCTGCACCTCGGGTTTCCTGTACAAAATGTCGGCCTCATCCCTGAACACTGTCCTTCGGAGTTGATCCAGGGATCGGTAGTCCAGAGACCGTGTCCGCCCGGTTGCCAGGTGCACTTGCCTCAGGCAGTTGCCTCTCCCAGCTGCGGGCGTCATCCTGAAAGTGTAGAGGACATGGGTCACCATCCACCCCAGCTTCTCGTTCTTTTTGCTTTCCCTGACCCGCCGGGGGCCTCTGGCGACCTACATCCTTCTTCGGCTTGTAGTCTCTCTCTCTCTCTCTCTCTGGTAGTATGATATGGAATTGCCTGCTATAGCATGACTTAGTATAGCATACCGTAAGTGCATGAAGGGTCTGCTGTAAGCTTTGTTGGCCATGTCAGTGGTATGGGAGATAGAACTAGAGCCAAAGCGCAGAGTGAAAGAGAAAGAGTCCTTTGCTCTGGGAATTTTGACGGACGACATGAACTGCATAGGGAATTGATAGCCTGCTGGGGATCGTACACATCCATTCAAGGCTCATTTGGGCTTCCCAACTCTAGTCTAGGATTGTCCCAAAGTATTGCTTGAGGAAGACTACGCCTAAGCTTTGAGGAGGGAGCCCCTACTGGAGATTCGTTACCCAGCCAAGGCAGATGTGATTGCAGCATTCCTGGCCTCTTCCACAAAAAACGAACTCCCCGTAATCTTTGGATGAAACATGTGGAAAGAGAAAAGTGCAACAGTGAGCTACTGTACTTAGTGCATGATGCGCATGGCTTAAGCCTAGGGGCATGAATGTAAGCTCGTGATGGCGCCGCAGTAACGGTATCCCCAATGCACAAGAGAACAGTAGAGGTGAGTTGGGTGTGAAGAGGCTGTCATGTTTTGGGGCATGCCGAAAATCAGCAGAGCACTCCCATAGCCAACGCCCTAGGTCCGACGCCTGAACCTCTCACTGTCTGAGGCAAGCTTGTCTCCTGAAGCGGCTCACCATCCACTTCCATCTCATCACCCTGCAAAGGCCACAAGGCTCTTGCGGGCCCAGAAAACGCATTCGGGATCTGGAGGTAGGGGGATACGGACCATGGAGCTCATGGAGCTAAGATGCAGGGACTAGTGGCTAGGGGCAGGATCAAAAGTTGAGGCATCTTGTTGGGAAGATTTGCCTTGCCTTGAATAAAATCCAGGACAACTTTCAGTCTATGTCTTCAACCTTGAGTTCCATCCCCCTGACTGGCAGAACTCTGATACTCCAAAATTGGCTCACCAGACTTGCCGTGCCTCGCTCAGGGACTCGCCGTCCCACTCCTCTTGTATGACAACCTGATCGTGCATCTCAAAATTCACTGCTGCCATGTTCTTTCATGTTACTTGAAGGCCTTCTCCGCATCATTGGGTGCCCGGATGCCGGCGCGCTGCCGGCGTGCAGGGTCGGCACTGTGCCAGAACCGCTCAAAGTGGCAAAGCCGCAGCACGCAGGCCGCCACGGGCAGCGAAGAGCAAGCGAGGCCTCGAAGCCGCGCTGCGTAGGGCGCCCGGGGCGCATTGCCCGGGTCCCTCCAGTGTGCTAATCTGGACTGGAGCTCTGGATCTGGGTCCTCCGGTGCCTTGGAGCTGTCCTTTTCTGGGAGCTCCGCAAACAGAAGCGACTCGAGACCCGACGGGTAGAGTGGGGGAAAGATTGACCACTGGCGCCAACAGTCTAGGACCTGCCGGACAGCTGCTTCAGACCGCGAATGCCGAATGGACTGCCTCTCCCTGCCACGGCCCCGCAGCCAGCACCCAAACTGCTCGCAGGCAGCTGGCAGGAGCTCTTGCCTCAAAGCTGTAAAGGCGCGCCCTGCTAATTCCCAGGAAAGCCGAAAAAGTAGAAAGGAGGTAAGACCCGGCAAACAACCAAGGAACTTTGGAAGCATAGATTTGGATTGTCATCATGTATAAATTTCTTGACATGCCAAAGATCTTCCTCTGCAGGGATGTGGTTGGACCCACAAAGCCATGTCATGCTGTTCGTAAAGATACAACTCTCACTCTAAAATCAGGACAATGCTCTGCTCCCCCTATCAGAACCTTCTAGCTCCAAGCATTGCTACCCTTGCCTGGCTTCAAACGCCCTAAAGCGGGAAATCCGAGGTCTCTTCCCACATTCACCACACATACAATTACTGCTTTATCTGGTCAAGCCTGGGCCCGAATATTCATGAGAGAGTGTGGAATGTTGCTCAACAAGGTCAAGGTGAAACCATGCCACTTTGAGGCGCAGGTGCAGGTTGCTGCGGTAGCGTGTAGCTCCGCGCGAGCTGCTGGAAGCCGAGTTATGGAGGATGTCGCTGATCAGGAAGATCCTTGCATTGCGATACTTCCAACACGGTTTTTAGGCGCTTTGACATATGCCCTGTAGTGCTTTTGAATCACGAAGCCGGCCCTGAAGGTACCAGTTCGGGTTCAAGTGGTTTGGGTGAAGTGCGGGGCTGTTTTGCCACTTGCATGTGCACAACTGCATCGGGAGGTGGTGCTTGCCATTCTCTTTGTCGGACTTATGATGATGTGTAGGTCGTTGAAGGGTTGGATCAGAAGGCGCCATGATGGATGGAGGGTGGCGGCTTGTTGTTTGGATCAGGAAGACCTCGGACCATTTAACGGCTTAGCTTTTTGAGTTTTGCAGGGGCTCAGACGGATATACGGGACTCCAGCTCAAGCGCTACAAGATCTACAATTCAGCGACTGTTAAAGAAGAATGCGCGCTTCCCTTGACTCTGGTCGATGCCTCCCTACCTCCTCTTCAAACAGAAGTATTATATAATAACAATAATTCTGAGACAAGACGCCGCGCTAAGCCAGCATCGATCGTCAAATCTGACTCCTCTGCGGATTCACGTGCAGGGGCTGTAATTAGCGCCAATTTTCGGTGAAGGTTCTCACTGCAGCGTATAGTGGGATTCCTAAAAAAAACGGGGGCCACCAAGGCCTTCAGACCAAAGGTGGGAAGGCTACGCTTGCGACCCTTGAGCAGAGCAATAGTGCCCCAAGCAAGCTGGACCTTTCGGTGGTATACCATGCTGCTGCATCCGATACTGATGTAATACCCTGTGTTCACAATATACATACATAACCACCCCTTATCTAGGGGGGGTGTGGTGGGCTCGAAATAGGAGAATTTCCTATTACAGGTTGGGGGGTGGGGGGGGAGTGGGTAGACTGCGCTTCCGCTGCTTCCGCTGCCCTTGCTCCAGTGGGAGGCTCGGGCTCCTT